TATTTTTTAATACAAGAGACGAATACAAAGAAAGCCATGACATTATTTTTTAATACAAGAGACGAATACAAAGAAAGCCATGACATTATTTTTTAATACAAGAGACGAATACAAAGAAAGCCATGACATTATTTTTTAATACAAGAGACGAATACAAAGAAAGCCATGACATTATTTTTTAATACAAGAGACGAATACAAAGAAAGCCATGACATTATTTTTTAATACAAGAGACGAATACAAAGAAAGCCATGACATTATTTTTTAATACAAGAGACGAATACAAAGAAAGCCATGACATTATTTTTTAATACAAGAGACGAATACAAAGAAAGTCATGATATTATTTTTTAATACAAGAGACGAATACAAAGAAAGTCATGACATTATTTTTTAATACAAGAGACGAATACAAAGAAAGTCATGACATTATTTTTTAATACAAGAGACGAATACAAAGAAAGTCATGACATTATGATTTAATACAAGAGACGAATACAAAGAAAGTCATGACATTATGATTTAATACAAGAGACGAATACAAAGAAAGTCATGACATTATGATTTAATACAAGAGACGAATACAAAGAAAGCCATGACATTAAATACAAGACATGAATACTGATATCTGACTATTTAGTTAGATTCTATTTCCGGCAACCTTTACATACTCTCTAGACCTACTTATATCCCATGAAAACTTTTCTAAACTCTGTATACCAAACTATTTCAAACGACGACCTTTCTACACTAACTATTCTAAGGGACCATTTAATATCTGACAGCCTTTTCCTAATATAGACGTAGTGTAGACTCTTATCGTAAGCGGAAAGCAAATCAGCCCAGTGGCTTAGCGAACAAACAATCCTAATCGCATACACTTGATCAGGGCGAAGTAGAAGTTCTGGTCCATAATCATGCAGAGAAAGGTCACCCAAATTCTTAATGATCAGTTTAAATCTACTTTTTTTTACCATTTATTCGCTGAGTTGATTTGACCGTTGCATTCGATGTGTTGATTAAACACCGAGTTCGTAAATTTTACCATGCTAGAATGTCAAGAAATTACCATTTAATCGAATGTGTAGAAATTGCCTTATGTCATAAATGCTTGCTCTTGATGACGTCATGCCCATATGATGCCATCACGTTAATTTTTTCAATCTTAAACTGACAGGTTGGAGAGTTCACTCAAGTTGAGGCATGTGCATGGGATATAGGGCTCCCTAGTTATATATATATATATATATATATATATAT